GCCAGCAAATATTCCATCAATATTCTGAGATGATAATAATAATTACACAAATCAGTAGCTGTAGAATTACATATTTAGATAAATACAAGTATAACGTGGTGAATGGGAATGAAGTATGATTAAGATGACAATTTGTACAGTACACTGATATTTAGAAAAGAGATAAACAAGGAGGATAAGGACATCATAAAGGACAAAAGGATCCTGATATGCAAAAGAAAATCTGATGATGAGAGAATTCATGAACAATGAGAAAAATACATCAACCTTCAACAGCTGTTGAGATCTGATACAAATCAGGCAGAAGTTAAAGAGAAAAAGCAAGTTCTTTTCTCTGCATTTAAAAAGAAAGGATGCTCTCAGGGGGAAAAACCTGCTCATGTGCCCTCAAGAGGAAATATATAACCAGATAAACTACCTGGTTATAATACTTGGAGAAGACTGTGTGTGTGTGTGTGTGTGTGTGTGCGTGTGTGTGTGTGTTGGAGGGGAGAGAGCAAGGGGCCTTCATCTAAACAGTCATGTAGGAAGCAAGGATTGGAATTACGTCACAAGATAATAACTCAGCCTGAATGCTATAATGAAGTAAAATGTCATGTATCTTTAAGATGACGAGAAGAAATGTGACAACAGGCAGGATATACCACCAGGAGAAGGCTTATCAAAGAAGAGAAGCTTAGCAGTATCACAAGTAGTTAGTAAGAAAGAGTTGTGAAAGAAAATGGTTAGTATGTATTGATAAACGTTTGTCAAAATCGTGTTTCTGAATAGACAGCCATGTGAAAAAACTCATTGAACACTCTCTGTTCACTGTTGAAAGCCTGCTGACCATCCAGATATTGCAGCATTTGCTCACTTTTTCAATGCTTGCTGTATCAGATACAATTTTGGCTTATTGATGAACATTTGTCATTCCTATGAGGCAGCATTTACTCCCCATCCATGCAGGTGTGCAGAGACTAGGTGGAGCCTTGGCTGACTGATCCCCAGAATGTGCTGGCCAGCACAGCAGCACTAGCACAAGGACAGACACATCTTTCTTTCTCCCCAAAGTAAGGGAAAAGAAGGACCAGACTGCAACTTGCACAGTCACTCTTGTGTCCCTTACTCAGGCTGGATTGCCAGGGGCCAATCCAGCCTCTGATATGCACTTTTGTGACTCAGTTCTGCAAAGTGCCAAGCACTCTCCCCAACGCAGCAACGCATTTAAAGATGTGCAAACTACAAGCTTATGAGTAGTTGCATTGAAATCAATAGGACTACTCACATGCTTAAAGCTAAGCAGGTCCCTCACTGCACTGCTGGACTGGGGACAGAGTGTCGAACACCTGTTGGACGGATGTTGGTTCACACCTACACCTAGAAACCGACATGATCTGAATGGTCTCAGACCTGACGGTAAGTTTCCCCCTCCCTATTAGACATTTACATGGCTTACTTTCTTGTTTCTAATTCTTTCTTTACAAAGCTTTGGTCACAAACGATCAATAGGCATTGTCTTTAAAGCGTCTGTACATGCCAACAGTTACTATATGATGCTATCTGAGTCAAAGTGCTATTTCCACAGCGTTCCCCTATACTTGGAATGTGAGATGCCTGTGGAAAGTGGTAACTGTTGGAAAATGTTAACTTTTTAATGGCTTTCATCATTGTGACCCCACACCAGTAAGGAAGGGGTTAAGCAGCTGCTCTGGACCCAGGCAACCCTACCCCATCCACTTGAAAAACATGCATGGCTTGGAGGAAGAGTTCAAAAGAAGAACAGTCCAATGTGGCTTGGCATCAGACAATGGAGATGAACTGACCTGCACCCTGAGCTCCGGAGTCCTGGCTGTCGTGATGTTGCCAAACCCACAGAGAAGAGACTGGTGATTCTCAGAAGGTCTGAGACTTTCTTTGATTCCAGCTATTTAATGTCTTTACTTTTCCTGTTGGGGAAGAGGGTCCGGTAGGAAGTGCTCCAGGGAGGCAGCAGTGCGGCACTTTGGTGGATTGGAACCCAATGGAGAGGGTGGGACCGGGTTCCCCTACTAACCCTTAAGAGGTGTCGAAGGCAGAAGCCTACCCCTGATATTGGGAGTCTAGAGGAGAGAAGGCCCAGAAGACAGAAGGTTCAAGATCCTGAGACATCAATCTAGGTGGAGACCCAGAGACCCCTTGCCTAACCCAAAGAGCTACCCTGTTGCTGGACTTTTTTATATACCCTGAAAGGGGTGGGCATAACCACAGGACCTGCTCAGAGGGCTGAGTCACAAAAGAGACAGGACACCGCAGGATCAAAGCAGCTGTTAATATGCGGTGACAGGAAAGAGAGAACCTGCCACACCCTGCCTGACCCCTAGGTGGCACCTGTGGTCAGTGATCACCTTCATAACCATATATAATTCTTCAGAACTTGTTTATCTCAGTGGTATGAAATCATCTGAGTAAACACATGTGGTACGGGCTATATAAGTATAGTATGCTTAAATGTATAAGTAGCGGTCTTTAGAGCTTTCTAGTTAGCTGGAAAATGGCAAACAAAACTTCAGGATTTGAAAAGTGCAGACAGACAACTGTGAAATATATTGATATTGGTTGTGAGTAAAAGCTTGAGGAGCTGTGTATGAATATCTGAGTGCAGAATTGGAATATACAAGCATGGGATCAGATCCTCAGCTAGTGTAAATCAAAATCAATATAAATACACTGATTTAAACCAGATCAGGATCTGGTCTCTAACGCTCTTTCTAGAGAAAGTGGGAACTGGGGAAGATAATGACTTTTGGTCAGGGAGACTTTTAATGGGCTTACAGTTGAATATGTTGAAGCAGGTAATGTAGATGCTGGTGAAATCCATGTGCTTTGGGGATTTCTTGTTTTTGTTGGGAGGAAGGTAGGGAAGGATGGTTCAATAATATTGAAAAAAATAGTTGTAAGTAATCCATACACTATACTTCACAGCAGCAATGCTTCTCAATCCATAGAGCATGACTTTAAGCACAATGTTTGTAAATTATTTTCATATTGATTTTAAATAAATGATGACTATTTAAGTATACTGTGCTGGATTCTGGTTTCATCATTTCAGAGTCAGATACTTAGACATGGCCTCTTTAGGGAGACTTCTGCATAGTCCTGGTGTTAAAATCATCATCATTATTATTATTGCTCTGCCAAAGACGTTTACCCTTTGAAAGCCTTTTTTATTACATTTAATCACATGCAATAACAATCATGGAGCCTGAAACTTTAGAGTTGTCATTTAAGGCCTGATCCAAAGCCCACTGAAGTCAATGGAAAGATCCCCATTGAGTTTAGTGGGCTTTGGATCAGACTCCTATTCAGTGCTTAGCCACTAGTTTCAGAAGTTCTCACTTCAAGTGAGCTAAATTTCTTGCATTGCATATCTACAAAGCAATAATCAGAGCACTCTTGGTAGATCTCAAGTTGTGTAATGTAACTTTGCAATTAAAAAGCACCATAGTTTACAGACACATACCAAGAAGAAATTAAATGAAACTGAAGTGTTTTTATATTTTAACATTCTACTAAAGTAAAGGCATTTTGTAATGAGACTAATCTCATTTTATCTCTTAATTGCATCTAGATATGCCAAACAAATTTACTGCTAGCAACCTGCATACAATATAATATATTAATTATAAAACACTATTACAATTTTCACAAGAAGGAATAGCTACTCTTACTGTTCTGAATCCAAAGCATTTGGTCAAATTAATTGTAATTATATTTTTAGTTAATATAATCCCAGCTAAATCAATGGAAGAGCTAATTATGCAAATATAATTCTTTTTAATCCACAACCTTCTCATCATAAATAATTTTATTTCAACTGATTGCAAAAAAGAAGGAGGAGGCATTATGTTGCTTCCTTATTTCACGTTACTAAAGTTAACAATAAAACAAATTTTAAAAGCTTCTATTTTTTCATTTTTGAAATCTAACTACAAAAGAGCCATTGTATATTTTGGCAGTACAGTACTACAATATATAAATAGTTTAATTATCAGTTGAAAATGACTTAGCACCTGGCTATTGTTTATAATGTACCACATGAAGACAAAAAACATATTACTTAAAACTTTCATCGCTGTAATCTCCTGCGTCTGGGGCATCTAGAAGAAGTCTTTTCACAAGTCAGATACAATACACAAACAATGAAATATTAATTGATGAGCAAATAATTTTTAATTGATAATGTATTCATCTATGTTTCCCAACCTTTGTTTATAAAATGTTTGTAAGAAGAGTGTGGAAAATCTCTAAATTTATTTGTTATTCAAAATTATTTCTGATTTTCATAAACACACTTTTCTCCACATCCGAATAGCTCACAAACATTTGTTGGAAATAGTGCTGGCTAAAAGCAGCAATTTTTGTATCAGGAAAAATGTCAAGGTTTTGAAATTTATTTTCATTCTGACGAACAAAAATGAGACCTTTTGAAATTTCTTTGTGAAAAGACATGAGAAACACACACAGACACAACCAACCCACCAGAGCAAGGATTTGAATCTGGGTCTTCTACATCTCAGGTGAGTTTTCTAAAAGCTAGGTTATTGACTATTCTGAGGTCTCTCTCGTCTCCCCTCCAACCTCCTCTCCAGGCATGAAACCCCTTATTTTGTCAAAATCAATACATTTCTGCTCAAGGTTTCAGTTTCCACAGAAAAAAAGTTGACATTTTTTCAATCTGCTGCAGTTGCAAATGTTTGGTATTTCAACCTCGCAAGTTATGTTGTTTTGGTTAGTTGCCTAATGTCTCCTCTTTTTTAAAAAACTAGTCACCAACACAATGCAAATTTCAGATTTACAATCCAATATGGAATTTTGAAATTCACTTTCAGCAAATATTTGAGATATAAGTTTAAATTCACTTTCCACAAGCATCATATTTTCTTTTACCCATGTTCATGGAAAGGCTCCAAAACACTACTCAGTTGAAACCTGCTTTAAAATGTGAATGAATATTCAGAGAACATTTCCCCTGCATTTACCTGTTGTGTGAATTCTGTCACCAGATCCTTGACATCCATCCTCATCGTCACAGTCCCCGCTTGATTCCATTGCTTCACTTTTCCCGCCCCCACTGCCACTTTCCCTTGAAGCCCATCGTTCCAACTTCAATTTTGTCTTCTCTGTATCCAGCTAAAAGACAAGAAAACAAGTCACAATGAAATGTAGTGTCTTCAAACAATTCAAGATGCAAGTGACAAAGAGCCTGATTCTAGGGTGCCTAGGACCCTTGGTTCTGAAATACTGTGGGTCTGATCCTGCTGTTCAAAATGTTATATTTCACCATACGGTTAGTGCAATGTTTTGGGTTATTTTCATATGAAGTCAACAGAGGTGTTTCAGGTATACATGAGGGCCCTAGTATCTTACAGGATCGGGCCTTGAGGTAGGATTTTTAGGGCATTGAGCAGTTGACAAGATCAGGTCCAAAGCCTGTGCAGACTGGAAGTTGTGCATTTCACTTTAACTTGAATCAGCAAAACATTTGACTGAAACAAATTTCTTGGAATTACTATAGAATAAGAACAAGCTGTTTCTGGAGTCACTCTGAATTCACTGCATTAGCTCACGCTAGCTGAAGTATTGTATTTGCTATGAAACAAATCTTTTTTGAGCTTTACATGCCATCCCCATTTTTTGTGTGCAGTGGCTGATGGTGAGCTCTCATACTTTACAATGTAAGAAACACAAATGTGTCACCACAGAGGTCTAGACCACCATTAAAACTTGTTTTCAATGGCAGCCTAACTGGCTGGCTCTTCTCCCTGTTTGGGGGTGGGCTTTTTCATTGGTAGTTAGAGGGGAAGAAGGTTGTAGCTGATGCTATGTATGTCATTCTGGTTATGCTGGAAAAGCTCTCACAATAAGGAAGTTTGGTGGTGTTTCCTAAACTTGGCCACTCTGGATTTCTCTAATCTCCTCTTGGAAGTTAGTTAATTCCATGGTGAGGTCCCCTCAACTGAGAATGCCTTGTCCTTAGCGCTCACATACATCATTCTGGGCTGTGGTTTTGGCAGTGTGAAGATGGAACAGCTAATATAGCTGGGACTTGATCTGATATATTTACAGCTTTGAAGATCAGGACAGATCAATCTGGCAGTGGAAATGGAGTGGGAGCCAGCCGAGAAACTGGAGCTCAGGCTTGATACACTAACGGAGACCTAAATGGCAGAAGAGGCAGGCAGCAGCATTTTGCACCACCAGGAATCCTTGAATCGCTTTCACATTCTTCTTCAAATACAGTGAGCTTCCATAATAACGCAGTCTGGAGATGACAAATGCATGTCTCACTGTGCGTAGGGGTCCTGTTCTAGTGAACTATAGTTGCTACCTCGTACTGGGGAGAACCTGGCTAATTTACCCTTTACCTGAAATTGTCTGTTTTGGTCATTCGGAAGATGCACACATCACTGCACTGCAGTGGGAAGATGAGTTTGTGAGGGACAGGAATATGGATTTTAGTTGGGAAAGGCATTGAACACTGTCCAGTTGTTAGGGTTTTTTTTTTAACAAGCTGCCTGGTGTCGAGCATCATTATTCACAGGCTGAAAGCCTGATGTCATGGGGAAGTAAGAGAGCAAATATTTTTAGCAAATGTAAAAAATAAATATGAGTACGTGGAGGAAAGGATTATTCAGTTACTTCATAGATTTATTGTGTCCTGACTGTCTTGGAGGAGACTCATTCATTCTTGGTTATAATCCTTCAGAATGAAAAGAAATGGCTAAGTGGTGAACAGAACAGATGCAAAATTTAATAAAGGCTTTTAATGATTGTTTGCCAGTCAAGGCAGAAATGTTTACTGCCTGTTAAGGTAATAACTCTTTTTCAAATTGATTTCATTCAGCACTCATGACTCAAAAGTGAATAACCAAACGATGTGTGCTCAGCTGTCTTGGAAAAGGGCAGAGAAATGAGCTCTGTGTTCAAACATGGGTGCACTGCAGCATTTCCCAGGCTACTGAACGCTATGTCCTGCCTCTCCTTCAGGAAAACAGCTCTTTGGCAACTTATATACACATCTACTAGCCCTTTCCCCCACATTCTACAGTTCCTCCCCAAAACCTCCTCTTTCCTAAAGTCTTTCCCAGCAAAGACTTCTACACCTACAGCATCTCCCAGCTGGTGTAGCAAGGACCCCAGCCAAGTCTCCTTTTCCTTTGGCTGAAGAGGCTCCCTCTTATAGTAAGCCCCACCTCTAGGCTGTTGCCATGTGACCTTTGGTCCCCTGACCCAGCGCCATGAAACAGGGCACTAGGAAACATGCATATACCCAAGGACATTTTCATGTCCCTTGCCCCTACCTATCAATTGCATGTCCCATGCTTTGGGAAATCATAGAAATAATAGAAATATAAGGTTGGAAGAGATTTTGAGAGGTCATCTAGTCCAGCCCCGAATGCTAAAGCAGGACCAAATAAACCTAGACCATCCCTGGCAGGTGTTTGTCCAGTCGGTTCTTAAAAACCTCCAATGATGAGGATTCCACAGACTCCCTTAGAAGCCTATTCCAGAGCTTAACTAGCTTATACATATTTTTTTTCCATAATATCTAACCTAAATCTCTTTGCTGCAAATTAAATCCATTACTTCTTGTCCTACCTTCAGTGGGCACAGAGATCAATTGATCATCAACCTCTGTATAACAGCCCTTAACATATTTGAACCTTGTTATCAGGTCCCCCCTCAGTCTTCTTCTCTCAAGACTAGACATGCCCAGTTGTTGTTGTTTTTTTAATTTTTCCTCATATGTCAGGTTTTCCAACCTTTTATCATTTGTGTTGCTCTCCTCTGGATTCTCTTCAATTTGTCCACCTCTTTCTTAAAGAGTGGCACACAAAGCTGGACATTATAGTCCATCTGAGGCCTCACCAATGTCAAGTACAGCAGAACAATTATGTCACCAGTGTCAAGTGGAGTGGAAGGCTTCTGTTAATACACCCTACAATGACATTAGCCTTTTGTGCAACTGCATTATATTGTTGGCTCATGTTCAATTTGTGATCTACCATAACCCCAGATCCTCTTCGGCAGGACTACTGCCTAGCCAGTTATTCCCCATGTTGAGGTTGAGCATGTTTTTTCTTTTCTACAATTCAGTAAAGACAAATACAAAGTACTATATTTATCTTGTTGATTTCAGACCAATTCTCCGATTTATCAAGGTCTTCTTGAATTCTAACATGGGTATAATAGGACAGGGGAGGCTAAGGTTCCCCAAACAGCCGCCGACCGACCAACCACCTTTGAGAGTGTGGAGGGTACACCTAGGCCATGGCCCCACCCACACTTTTCCCCCGTGGCCCCGTCTGCGGCAGAGGAGAGGAGCGAGTGGGGAGGGGGCCAAGTGGGAACGGGACCTGGGGTGGAGTAGATGTGGGGCCTGCGGCAAAGTATGGGTGGAGCCTCCAGGGGAGGAAGCTGAGAGGGATGGGGCCACAGTTCGGGTGCCGGGGGAGCTTCCATCGCTCGCACCAGCCTCCCCGAATGCCAGAGCCACGCGCTGCCCATAAATTCTAAGTCTGTCTCCCAAAGTGCTTACAACCCCTCTCATCCTGATATCATCAACAAATATTATAAACATACTCTCCTCACTCCATTATCCAAATCATTAATGAAAATATTGAATATTACTGGACTATGGTTGGTGTACTGGCGCAGTTAACTAAAATTAAGAGTAGATTTAACGTGTACAGCAGTAGCAACTTTAATTACTCTCGAAATACTTATTGTATAATAAAGACTTAGATTATCTCCCCCAGATGCATGCATGTAGGGCCTCTTCTGCATGCAGGTCTCCCCTACTGCACAGAAGTGGTCTTAGTGCTTCTGCAATGCCAGTCCATCTCCTCCAGAGATTTGAGAATATGTAAAGAGAAATGGAAGGAGGCAGAGTCTGGGGGGAACTGGCAGGCTGGGATGGGGGTGGCCATAGACATTATCCTCCTTGTGGATCTTATGCAAAAAGGATTATACAGTCTTATTATATTTGTGTGTGTTTTTGTAGGTCCTGGAGGCAGCCAGGTCAGGGGTGGTCACTTGTGCTTTGTTCCAATGGAGCCGTGCTGCCAGGCTGTGAGAGGAGCTTCCACTAGGGGCTAGAGCTAATATGAAGGACCAAGGCTTTTGCCCTGATGGTTCTGACATGGAGTGGAGCCCAAGGAATCCTGCAAATTTGGAGGCACCAACTCCCATGGTTTTTCCTATGGACAAACATAGAGAGAACCTCTCCAAATGGATGCTCCGCCATAGTCTCCTCCTCATATGTTACCATGGAAGAGACTGATCTGGATCAATAACTGGCATTTATTTTACACTTTCAACAAAAAAGTTCAATGTGGTATAACTTTACTGACTGTAGTAGCTATCTATCAATACACATGCAGATCAATTCATCCATCACAGAAACCCAACCACCGCCACCTCTGGCCACTTAAACAGTGAACAGGAGCCCTGCACTGAGTTCAGGACCAGAAGAGAAGAATGCAGTACCTTATCCAACTGAAACAGCAGAACTGGATTTTTGGTAGAAGAAATGCAATAACCCCTTTGGATTTGTGCCAGGGCACCGGAGCTAATATCTCTACCCTTGTAGAAAACATCATGGGAGTTTTAACAGGAGCATAGGACTTTAGGACTTTAATTTTTTCACCCAAAAGATAGCACTTCCAAAAGCATAGTGCTCTCTAATACTACGCTGGGCCACTGGTTCGGTACTGACTTATTTAATAGACCAAAGCTGTAATGAACAGCTCCAGTCCTGCTGGCTTTATGAGAATTGACAGACTGACCACCAGCGGGTAAGTATAAATATCCATATTATATCTTTTGCTCATTAAAAGGCAACATGAATAAGGCCTAATCTAAAACTCCTTGACGTTAATGGGAGTCTTTCCACTGACTGCTGTAGGCTTTGGATCAAGCCCATAGTCCTCTAAAGAGTGTAGAGAACATACACAATATTCCTGAATAGATTGCTTTGCATTTGATTTAGCTGAAATGTGTGTAAAATCACATGTAACCAGACAACTCTGAATTAAATACACTGCTGACAAGGTGCACGCATATCGTTTATTCCAGCACGGTTGAATACAAATTTACTCTCAAACACTTTTTGTACAACAGCAGCATTC